AGAGGTACTAGTGCCGGTGCGCGAACGACGGAACATTTGCGTTATTACTCACTCTGATGGCAAGCATGTTTCCCTGGCTATTAAAAATGCAGCCGCCGTAGAAACATGTTGCAGAAGCTCGGGAGAGAGATAGTATCTCCCGCAACATTCATGGTCATGGCCTTTCGCATAAACACCATTACACAGTTCACAAACTTTTCAGCATTTTCTTCGTGATCAGCACGATCAGCATCATCATCCGGTTGAAGTGTACCCTGCGAGCGACAGTTCATCGTCCGTACCAGGACAGGCAAACGCAGCAACCGGGTACTAAATCCCTTCATGCGTTTGCTCCATGGTCAATTTCCGCCCGATTTCGCAGGGAGGATGCAGAGCCGGTCGACCAGCAGGCTCGAGAAAAGTCAGGACTGGAGTTGGGATGTGGGGCTTAGGGCGATTGTACGTCACGGGTTCGGTTCACCTTGGATCCAGCAGTCCGAGAGAAAGGCCAAGGGATTAGTGGGAGGTCAGTGTGTCGCAGCAAGGAACGGCGGCTTTAGAGCAGCTTCTGGTCGGGGTGAGGATCGCAACTCGAAGAAGCCCAGCCAACACTAACTAGAGGCAGAAGGGTTCAAGTGTGGTTATAAAGCGAGAGATTCAGAAACTGATTAAACACAAGTCTTCAAGCTCATTGTCCTATGGTACTAGTCACAACCGGAACCGCAGTCGGTGCAGGCATGCTGGTATCTATAACAACAACAACAACAACGACAACGACAACAACGACAACAACAACAACAGCAACTCGACCGAAAACAAGTACCACAGCAACGACAATGCGACCACCACCAACAAGAACAGCGGCAGCAACAAGAACAACAGCAACAGCAACAACAACAACAACAGCAGCAACTGCAACTGCAACTGCAACTGCAACTGCAACTGCAATTGCAATTGCAATTGCAATTGCAATTGCAATTGCAACAGCAGCAGCAGCAGCAGCAGCAGCAGCAGGAGCAGCAGCAGCAGCAGCAGCAGCAGCAGCAGCAGCAGCAACAGCAGCAACAACAGCGACAACCGCGACAACAACAACAACAACAACCACGACGACGACGACGACGACGACGACGACGAGGACGACGACGTCAGCATCAGCTACAACTTACCACAAGAACGACGACATCAGTAATAAGAAAGCACAAGCGCAGTAGCACACGCAACGGTAGCATAGATACTTGCAGGAAGTAACAACATTGCCCGTATCACCATAAACGTCGTGGTCGCCATCGCCAGTCTAAACATCATCGTCATCATGACCATCATCATCACTATCATCACCATCACCATCATCATCAGCAGCTTGTTCTTCATCTTCATTACACTGCTTTATCCCTGCAGCAGTTGCTACAGCAGCACGACAGGTGCAGCAACAGAGCGGCAAGCTCAAGACAGCCAGTTACACTCCCTCCAGGAGACTGCCAGCAGCCTGCGCCTCTGGACACAGCGACCTTGAGGCCTTTTTTCGGATTGGCGCCTGTAGCTCTCATGTTCCAGACGGACCCCTTAAACCCTCAAATCTTGAGTTTCAAAACCCACGACGCCTATGTTCGAAAGTGTGCTTTCCCAAACTTCCAGAATCCTGCAACTAAACGTGTTGGTTTCCAAACTTCCAAAAATACCTGCTGGGAGGTCGGGCGTCTGGGCCAGTCTGGCGTGTCTTCGAAATCATTTCTTGACGGGAGCAGCGGGTGCCCCACAAGAGAAGGGAGGCCGAACCTGGGGATGAAGATAGTTATGCAGCAGAAGCGAAAGTAGATGTGGACCTAGAGAGAGGGAGAGAGCCATGTATGTGCGTGCGTGTGTGTGTGTGTGCTTGTTTGTTTATATCAGCTATTTTCGCATGATGCTGACATTATGAATCGCAGATATAAGCATGCATGCAAGACGCACAGACACATGCCAGAGAAGTTGTGAAGAATCCCCATGCAGAACCCTAAACCCTAACAGGTGATGTGGTGCCGTGGCGGGAGCTGGGCAATGGCCTCCTCTTCCCGTGCAGCAGTCGGCGGAGCGGGTTTGGGCCCTGCCAGCGTCTCACATGCCCGACATACTTTGGGGAGGCTGTCGGTAGCGACTTGCAGCATGATGTTCTCGTGGCCATCATGGGCTTCATCCACGGCATAGAGGCGGAAGTTCATGATATCGGAGTCTGCTCGGATCCGCCACCTCCTTGGCTGCGGGACGAGAAGGAGAAGGGCAGCGAGAGCAAGGATGCCCTCACGACAGATCGGCTCAACTGGGAGGCCTTCCTGGATGATCTGGGCCTCAAGCCGCTGTCGCCCTGCACCTCACACCGTAAGGTGGCAGGCACGATCCTAACAATCGATCTGGGCTGGCGCTTGTCGAGTTCCGATTGGTGGAAAGCCGCTGCTGCATCCAAGGCGGCTCTGGCATACTTGGAGCCTCGGACGGCCTTTTTTCTCTTCCATGCTAAGTATACCTTCCAAGAATGCGGGGTTCATGGCGAGGAAGTTTAGTGTTGATGTACACGTCTGTGTCTGTCTGCATATGCCTGTCTCCGCGTCAGCATGCATGCATGCGCTCGCCGACGCGTCGCTTGTTTTTTTTCTTGATTGGGCGCCCCTGAAATACAGAAACATGAATTAGCTATCCAGGAGCGTCGGCTGAAGGAGGCAGACCGTGTGGAGATCACTTGGTTGAAGCAGCTTCGAACACCGGAGCGGGTCGACGTTTCCGAGCTCTTCCTCCGTGGCGCCTACGTTCGCTATGGGGGCCACTTCTTACCCTACATGGAGCCTTCGCCGTTTTGGGAGTGGGGTCAATGCTGTTGAGTCGTTGAGTCACCCAGGGTTTTTCTAGAAATACGAGAGTTCAGAAAGAACGGCGGATGTGCGAACAAAAACGAGTACAAGCAAGATGCTTGCGAATCGCAGAGGACCTGCCCCAGACCGATGCCCCTGTGGCATCTTTGGCTTGCCTGAGGCGCCGACAACCCCCTAACCGACATGGTACAGGGTAATTTCTTTGTCTTCACGAGCATATGCGCATGACTTCAAGCTAGCAATGTGTTTGTAGCTGCCGTTGGTTCTATATGTGCACACTAAGTGGAGCTCATTTCAGCCTCGTTGGTTGAATACATGAATAAATACATGAATCATGTAAATATAAAACACGTATATATGTGTACATATATCTACACTCTACACATACATATAGACAGACAGGCGGACAGACAGACAGAGAGACAGACAGATAGACAGAGGGACCGACAGAGAGACAGACAGCCAGCCAGCCAGCCAGGCAGACAGACAGACAGGCAGGCAGGCAGACGGACAGACAGACAGACAGGCAGACAGAGAGAGAGAGAGAGAGAGAGACACAGAGAGAGAGAGAGGGAGGCAGAAAGACGGAGAGGCAGAGGGACAGAGACGCCCCAGGGACAGAGGGACAGAGGGACAGAGACAGACAGACAGAAATAGAGGCTGTCATAACATACATAGATACGTAGATACATGTACGTATGCATGCATGCATGCATGTCTGCATTAACATATACATGATATGTATATGTATATATACATATTTACATATACACACAGAGATAGATAGATGCAGGTATGATGCAGATATAGCTATATAGCCACAAGTGTTGATACGAAATTTGATGTAGATCGATATAGCGATAGGTGTACCAAATCTACACGTTTGTGCCTGTGGATTCTTGCCTGGGCGTTTAGGTCTGTCTGTCTGCCTGCCTGCCTGCCTGTCTGTCTGTCTGTCTGTCTGTCTGTCTGTCGGTCTGTCCGTCGGTCTGCCTGCCTGCCTGCCTGCCTGCCTGTCTCTGTCTGTATGTTTGTGTGTCTGTCTGTCTGTCTGTCTGCCTGCCTGCCTGTCTGTCTGTCTGCATCAGGCATCTACAAGTGTGGAGCATTGTCATGGTTCGACTTTCAATCCAGCACCTGAGCCTGAGATCGCAACGGCCCGGCTAGGTTGAAGGTTTGGGCTAACCCAGACACCTCAACCCCGCCACGGCAACACGATGCTTCAAACTCGCAGTGCGCTGTAAGCTGCCCTTGAGGCGGCTGGGTGTGGCTACGGACCTCACCGGCAGTGGCTTGCGGAAATGCCTGCAGGCCCTGCATTTAGCTCCATACTGCAGTAATGTCCTGCAGCTCAAGCGTAGTGTGGGTGGGGTGGGTGGGTGGCTGGCTGGGTGGGGTCAGAAACGTGTTTACCTTTTACTTGTCCTGACCCTTAACATGGACCGGCAAGGCAGTAGCTTCGCGACCGCTGATCTCCGCATGGTTAGCTGTAGCAATGCATCTAATGCTTCCGTCTTGGTCTCGATGAGCAGCCACAGTGGCTTGCTCACGGCCGCCGCACATGCCCATACTATAGGGGCCCACATAATCACTTCTGTTGGTGGTTCCTAAATATAATTATAGTAATATACCCCCCATCCATAAAAACACACACACACCTTCTAATCATTAAGGCCCCTACATTATTCACCAACCCATGATAGCGGTGCCTTTTTGCTTGGAAAGGTGTTAGAGGGCTGGGCATGTCAAGACCTCAGCGTTTTCGCGGACATCTACGCCGCCTTGGCATCGCTGCCCAAGGATGAGCCTTGAATAAGAATTGAATGGTGGTTTAGGGTTTGTAGGGTTTGTAGGGTTTAGGGTTTAGGGTTTGTAGGGTTTAGGGTTTAGGGGCAGAAAGCGGCCTCTCGTTTCGAGCCAGAACCACCCAGATCCAACTCCTGCCAGCATGGTGGAGCCCTGATTCGATCTTGGGCAGGCGTGGAATTGAATCCCTACAGTGCCCTACATCCTTGTAAGGTTTCACAAAGTATACTCCGGGTTTCCATGGAATGCTTATGTATTTAGCGGGATGAAACGAGGATGCAACGACACTAACACGGGTAACTGGCCGTCTATTGAAAACCACGAGTGCAATCGATCAAGGAACAGGCCTCCACGGGCAGCTGGGGCTCGCAGGAGGCACCTGGGCAGTCGCGTGTCTTCGTGCCACCAGCTACCTTCCGCAAAGCGGCCGAGTGTGCGCCTGTGTTCTGCAGTGGCACCTTTTGTGTTTGTGATTGGGTGGCCTTGGGAGTCCCGACCACCAGAAGCCTTCTCGACTTGCTTCTTTCCGCAGTTGCGAGTTGTAGAGGTCTGGACTGACCATGGGAAATCCACCCTGCGATGGCTTTGTGGCTATGTCGCGCTTCAGCCTGACTACGGGCGCTTCGGCAATCTCTGCAGATCGTGGCTGGTCGGACCCCATGTGGCCATAAAGCACGATCTGGATGCGCTTCAGGCGAGGCCTGTTCCATTGTCCATCTTGCTGAACTGCCAGAGGAGCCGCAATTCGGAACAGCAAGTGCGCATGTCCGCATTTCGCATACCTCAGATGCTCAAATCACATGTCACATGGTTCGAGCCGCACAGGGGGTTCAAACGGAGTTTAAGACTGTAGAGATAGGTGCATGTTTGCATCTTATGTTGATGCTTTCTTTACGAAGGCAGTGGCAGCTGCATCGGAATTCAGTGGTGTCATTGAAGAATGCCACCTACTACTTCGTGCATCTGTGCCAGCTATCGGTTTCTACTTCGTTCGCACCTGGTAGATGAGAACTGTTTCGCGAGCCACCCGAAACCTCTTTACATTCCAGTACATAAGACCTCCTCCTAACCTTCTCGTCGGTACCCTGAGCCGGTGTAGATGTTGTGCAGGGCGACATCCGAATCGATGATCCTGAATCGGCAACGAAAAGCCCGACCGCAGTTTACCGAAGCCTTGTAAGTCCTAGCCCGGCCCCTAAACCCTAAACCCACTGAACTTAGGTCCCCCTTAAAGCAAAGGCGGAGCTCCCCCGCCTAAACCCTAAACCAGCTCTTATTTCCTGCGAGCCATGGCTTTGGGCAGCCAGCTCACAGCTGCTCAGTTCGATGACGTCGTGGTGAAGCTTCATGCGGCCGCAGAGAGCACCTCGGCTGTACGACTGAACCCAGAGAGCCCAAGACCCCTTAATTCAGGAATAATTAAGGCCACCCTAATACCCCCTAATTATAAGGAATAGACCTTAAGTTATCGGGGCCTTTATATTATGATTTAAGGTATATATTCCTTAATTAAGGGGTATTGGGTTCTCTGGGTACGACTGAAGCGGATTTAGGATCCACAGATCCGCAGCTGTCGTGCTGTGCCCCCAAGAAATCGAGGCGCCCAGGAATCCTACGCTGTGAATCTGAAAAGTAGGAGACCCAGATTTCTCAAACATGCAGACAACGAGCTTTGGCAAAGCATTTCGGAAATGTCGCCTTCGAACCGACCAGTAAAACAGTGCAATGTTCTTGCATGTTGTTTGCATGTTATTTTGGAATTTATAATCTGGTTGTTTTGGAGTGCGTCTTGGCAAGTTTGTGTTTTGGAGCATTCTTAGGAATTTTGGAATGCTTGCTCGACATGACACATCTTTTGCACGAGGCCTCATACGGTCCAGCGGGCACGTGCAGAGCACCAAAGTGTCTCGACTGGAATCTGCAGCCGTACCTGCCCGGCTAGTAACATCGAAATTGTGACAATCTCCTGTAAACCCAAGTCCTGAAATGCTTAAACCCCTGAAGCCTGAAAACCTGCGCAGCTCCAGTGTAGGACAAGCTTGGGTGAGGATGTTTGGGATGTTTGGCTTTCGGGTTTCGAGTCTCGGTCGTCTCGGATTTTGGCATGCGGGTTTGAGGCGGTGGGCCACTGTGGTAAGATTGAGGCAGACCTGCTGACGAGAGATCTGCGTGGAGCGTGGTTTCAAACCCTTCGAACCAAGCTTAAGCGGGCAAAGTAAACTTCTTAAATTCCAGCAGAGATGTGTCAGGCTGAGATCGAGTTGCTGACCCAGGCAGGCTCGTGTGCCAAATGTCACGACATCACAAACTGTGTAAGGTTGAACCTGTGAGTGTTAGGGGCAGAGCCTGCTTTGTAGAGACCAAACTGAGCAGTTGCTGTCAGTATATGCGAAGAAGACAGGGCAGACCAGCCAGACTGATGAAGCAGGCTTGTCAGCGGGAAAGTACACAATCCCCCTTGGCATTGAGTGGTGCTTGCCCGATCACCAGCACAAACCTAAAGACTGGAAGTCTGATCCTTGAGCTTTTCATCTTTACTGCTGAGCTACTTAGAGGCTGCCGCCCATGACCCCTGAAGACGAAAACCGGAACTCCAAATCCCAAGACGCAACGCCTTAAACTTGCACGAAGCAGGCCAAGAACACTCAACAGGAAGCTTGTTGCCACCCAAGCAACTGGAGTTTCAAGATGGAGTGTATGGTATATAGATCGTGACTGCGCCGGTGTTAAAGAACCATCATCAGGTCGTTCGAAAGATCGCACCACCCCAGCAAAAGTCCCGCGGCGCTTTGCAGGTAGAAGTTGCCAGAAAGTTCATGATCGCGCCTCGGCTTCACAGATGCTACAGGGCCGATGTAACCCACTGCCCTCCCGCATGAAGCAAAATTGCATGTCATGTTCGTGAAGCAGGGTGTGGTGTCTAACGTGCTCCTGCCGTGTCCGGCTCAGGCAAGCCTTCACGAGCCGGACGACAGAAAGGCCTTGCATGAAATCTTCGGGGGAGATCTGGCAAGAGTTTGCCGCGTTCGAGACACTCGGCTCAAAAGACTGCGGTTTGTACTGAGCATTCTTCAATCGACAGCCCCTTCTAGATCTGTGGTGCTATGCAAGATCCCAATTCAGCACAAAGCTGTATTGCTTCTGCGAGTCACGACGCAATCATGCTTTCCATGGGTTCCCCTTCCATTTTGCTGACCCTAGGGAGAAGCCTGCATGGAAGGGGGCAAAGGAAGGGGCCTGATGCGGCCCACTCTAGGACTCCAGCCTTGCCGAACTCACCTGCTACAAGCCATGCCCGGTTTGGGACCCTAAACCCAAAGCCCTAAACCCAAAAAACCCAAAAACCCTAAACCCTCAACCCAAAACTCTAAACCCTAAACCCTTTTTTGTGTGCCAGTCCGAAGGTGGTTTTGGAGCAGCTCGACTCTGCGGTTAGTGCAAGCGCTGGCCAGCGGCTGTCCCAGTGCCACTGGATCGCAGTTTGTCCTCCCCGGGGTGGGGAAGGGTTGCTCGCGAGGTTCGCACAGTCACCCATCAAGCACTTAAATCCCTTAAAACCCTTAATGCCCTCAGTCGGTACAAGCCCCCTGGAGCCCCATCAAAAACCCCGAACCCACCACGACCCTAAAATCCTTAAAACCCTTCGCCTTGAAGCCCCGCAAGAGAAAGGTCTGATGGCCTGCCGGTCCATCGAAGATGTCTTAGCCGACCTTGGTTGCTTGGAGTGGCTGTAGTGGGGGCCGGGCCGGGTCTACGACTGATGATCTATAAGGCTTTGTGCAAGGCTGTAGAGGGTTAGTGGGGGTTTAGGTTCCAGGGCTTCAGTGCTGTTCGAGCCTACTCTGTAGAGTCACCAATACCAATAAATAGCTGTCAGCAGACTGGCAGCAGGTCCTCTCCCAATAACTCTGGAGATCTCACCGTGTCTTTCTCGTGAGGTTCGTGGTTCAGCCCGGCAATATCCTTCAGGAAGGGTTCGGGGTCCCAAAGTCCCTGAACGACAAGCTCTTTCCCCATCTACTGCCTGAAGCCCCTCTTCTAACCCCAGCGCCTTGATGCTGAAGCACCCAAGACCCATCCTTGTTCCTCGAAGGCTTGTCCAGGGCCCTGCTGGAAGCCGAAGAAGAGCAGCGCCAGGTGCGAGGGCACGATAGTAGGCGCATTACCGCTGCCTAAACCAAATGTATCCTCTACAGCGAGGTACCGTGTTGGATTTTGTGAGGTCTTACTTGCCTTTTATTTCGTGGACCCTGTCATATCCTACTGTACATCCCAGCTTTTCTTGAGGGAAGTTGTGAATAGCCCCACGATAGTATAGGGCGCTCGAAAGTAGGTGCTCCGTCAAAGCATCTCCAAGACAGTTGAGCTTCCAACCTTAGGCACGAATCGGTGAGCAGAATAAGCAGCATCGACCCGCAGCAGGCCTTGGCCGAGCGTCACGCCAAACTCGGCGAGCCCAGCAGCAGCGGGAGCTCTTTGTCAAGAGTCTGTCGGCAAGCGTGCAAGCTTTGCGGTGGTGACGGTGACGGTAATTGGTAGCTCGGAATACTGCAAGATGATATAACCATGGCAGTCATGACAACCGGAGCGACAATCAACAGACTGCTGACGATGGCGATGACAATTCTAGTGCAGATGGGAGTGTGACGATGACGATGATGATACGATCCAATCTATGACAATAGTATGAAGGAAGGGGGAGATGAGAAGCAGGAGGAGGAATGAGTGCTTTCTGCTAAGCTTGCTCAGAGCTTCATCAACAGCAAGATCGTCGTAGTCTTAGTCTTCTTCTTCTTCATCATCAACATCATCGCCATCGCCATGATTGTCATCATCATCATCATCATCACAAGCAGAAGCCACTCTCAACTTATTAGACCAACTGTCAAGCTGAGAGCCTGAGCGAGACGAAGGCGATAAGGCGGTAAGTTGAAGATGCAATGCTGTGTTGGAGCCTTGTGTCCCTAGGTTGCGCTAGCCCAGATGATCCGGACGCAGCAAGCCCGGCCGCTTGGAGAGACTTGAGGTCGGTATCGTAAGCCTGGGCCATGGTCACGACAGGGATCGCAAAATGCGGAACTGGCTAGCACGTTTAGGCTTTTGGGGGTTTAGGGTTTAGGCTTTAGGGTTTTGGGGATTAGGGTTTAGGCTACTTTCATGACCGGGTATAACTGTGGCCCACATCAGCAAGCGTCAACATATCGTGCTGGTGATCACCGACCAGTGCAGAGTGCTACTGCAGGTGGCAATGTCGAACCCACAAATCCATGCCATTGCCAACGACTTCTTCATCTGTGCTGGTGAAATTCGGGACGCTGCCGACTCGGACGAGCAAGATGACGCGCAGGCATCGGCTGCCGCTTACATTACGACATTGTGAAACAGCCCATCCCCCACCCACTCACCCACCCATCACGTGGTCTCCAGAAGGCAGTCTCAGTCGACAAGCTTGAGCTTCGTGTCAGAACTTGGGGTTCTCGAACTTTCGCACTGAACATTAGTGTGCCAGCCGTTGTAGTGCTGCCAGTACTACGGGCAAATTTTCTGGTGCATGTGGATTCGAGGCCAGAGGAGGCTGCAAGACCGGGTAGCCGCAGATGACTCCCATGAACAGCGGATAAGACATGCTAGGAGCCGCAAAGCTTTTCACTGCACCCACGCTGCCCTTTCTGTAACAACCCGTCGAAACGACAC